TTTTCATTATAAATGTAATCAGATGATTTTATTAGAATTTATGAGATACCTTATAAATGTTATAAGATACCTTTGATTTTTTACAAGATGTCACAAATACGAAAGAACGAATTTAAATTTGAGTCATACTGCTAGTTCTAATAAAAGGCCAAATTTGATCTGTAACTTAAGTAACAATTTCATACATTGTGAGTCGTAGCAAATATATAGTTCAACAAAGGGTGATAGAGTTGCCTGTTATCAATGACGATCCATTCATAAAGGATATCTTTTGTTTACTTATTGTACCTCGAACTTGTTTACCCGATGTTGGTCTTTAAATTAAGGTTCTATTTACTAAAAGTTAATTGTGAATGACCAATAATACACGTCCCCGTAGATTCATGAGGTCAAAAATAGGTCTAGAGAGGGTCGAAAAAGTAGCAAGCAAAAAACCATTGTTTGCTAATAAAGAATTAAAGAATTAGAGTGCATTTGGGTTGATCATTTTCAGTAAGGAAACAACGACATTAAGATGGAAATTCAAACCCTTCCGAAACCCGAAAATATTGGCTGCAATGGGCATTTATATACAAATTAAGTGCAACTTTATTCTTGTTATGTATAGTTTGTGCTCTTTCCATCTTATGCATGTGTCACTTTAAATTTTGTAACGTTTGTTCCCGGTCGACCCACTTCGCACATTGTCCTGAATATGCATGGCATATTTGTCAATGGACGTTTAGGTAGCAATCAATCAATCATAGATATAGGAAGATGTGGTATGAGTGCCAATGAGACAACTCTCCATCCAAGTTACAATTTATAAAAGTAAACCATTATAGGTCAAGGTACGGCCTTCAACACGGATCATTGGCTCACACCGAACAGCAAGCTATAAATCTCCATTTAGTGACCTTTGTAGTTTTAAGTCTTTAGTGGTTAAGTGTGTCAAGAATTTTTCCTCTTTACATACATTAGATTATTCAAGCGACAGATCTATTGAATTTAAAAAGTTAAGTTTGGTTTTATATGGAAAGGTACACAGATTTGTATAATGGGATGGGTCATCCTACATATGGAAAAATACAAGGAACAAAATTGGTAAATTAAAATCAAAACGATCAATAAGATGGAACGTTGGAAAGAGCACAAAGTGTAACTATCAAGAATAAATTCGTTATTTACGTTTACCCACGAAATCCACGAAAATTGGTATCCTACGAATGATAATGAATTAACAGTTAAAAGTTTCTGAGGGTTACTTTTCATTCAGCAGAGAATTCATACAGTTCAATAAAACGTTGACTTTGTTTCAAATGATCATTTGTACAAATTCTAAAATAAAAAATGTGGAAGGGTACAAGCGCGTACAGAGATGGAAAATGAGACTAATTTAGTATCAGGTGTTTGAAGCCAAATAATGTTATCATAACTAAATTGTTTAGCAAGTAGATATGCAACCACGTTCTATTTTGCAGTTCATTGTGCTAATTTATCGAAATTTGGGCTTTTCCTTAATCGTTTGGCATTACATTTTGTATTTTGTTTAGATAACGTACTTTACAATTTTATATATACATTTTGTAGCTGAGTAAGGTTGATAGATAACAATTAAGACAGTTTTTTGTACAACAGTCTCTGTTATAAATTCATTAACTAGTAGTCTACTCATTTGAAATATACATATTGACACTTGTCTTACATCAAACCCTTCTTATTGACATCAATATTTGTTAAAAGTGTTGCTGGAATATTGCAGTACTACCTTTGACGCATACATTTACATCCATTTTAAAAGTGAACAATGTTTACATTATATCCTATCAAACCAAACTACGGGAAGGGAAGTAGAAACGAAAAAAAAGTCATTAAAGGGCAATAACTCCAAAATGGAAACCAATTACGATATCAGTCAAGTTGATTTATTAGGAAATCTTGTCTAGGTGATTATATTTGCTGTTTCAAGTTTCCCATTATCTATTATAGTTTTCATAATGGCAAAAACGGATACAGATTTTATTTAAGTGCAATAATTGCTATAATGAATGAGTTGACGATTCGGACATTATTACTTGTTTGTAGATCTTGTCTTACTGATTGTGTTTGCTGTTTCAAGTTTCTCTCTACCTACAATTGTCTTAGCAAAAAAGACAACGCAATAAACTGTCATAAAGGCAACTAACAATTTCCGCCATGTGACTTTTATGTGTATATAGCTGACCATTTTTGCTGTATAAAGTTTTTTTCAGGGTCAAGTCGTTATTGATGGAAAAAAACAGCTATAAATGATTGACTTACAATTTCGTTCATATTATTGACTTATTTGCAGATCTTGTCTTGCTGATAATCTTTGTTATTTACAGTTCATCTCTGTCTACTACAGTTTTGCAACAATCGCAAAAACTATGATGACTAAATTCGTCATTGATTTACCATATCTCCTATTAGAATCCGACTGCTGATTCCAATCATTTAACTTATATGTAGATCTTATTTAGCTATTAAAGGGAGGAGAAAAAAACAAAAGGGACATTCAAACTTATAAGTCGAAAATTAACTGACATGTCAAAAAACGACGAAAAAGACCAGTTTATTTATCATAAACTATAATATAATTTCCTATTTACTAAAACTAGGATGTAACGTTAATGTTAACAAATCAGCGATCGGTCATGCAATACACCAAGGACAGAAGCAAGAGAGCCAAGGTTAAAAATGTCCGTTATCTTTTTCTATTTGACAAACTGCAAGTCTTATTTCATTTGTAAAGTTCATTTTTCCATTTCTTCGTCTTTTTGTGCATATTTTAATAAATTATCAATTTTATCCGACATTTTTATAGTTTTCCAAATTTCAAAAGCGCATAGTTCAATCCCTTCTTTATCGTTTGAAAGTTCAAACGCTTTTTGTAAAAGCTCATAGGATGAAATCAACGATAAACTATTCAGTGATTTACTACCTTCTTCTAGAACGATCCGTTTAAGTAGTTGCAATGCAGATCTAGTTTCCAGAGAATTTCCTTGCTTACGGCTATATAAAAATTTTAGATAATAGAACAATAGTTGCGACTGATAACCTCCGATATTGATGGTATCCTGAAACTCTGCAGTTAAAAATTGGTAAGAATCTGACCAAATACCTGTTAAATCGTTTGAATCTTCTCTCGGAATTGTGTTATTCTTAAAAAATAAAACGCTCGATGACAATTGTAATATATTAGACATCTTATGGTATTCCTTTGTGGAGTAAAAATAAAAGCTGTAACCATCCAGACACGATATCGTAAAATGTATTCATCAAAATCCGAGATAGACATTCTTTGTAACGAAGGTAGCAACATTTATTTTAACCATTTAGAACATTAATCGATGGTAATATTGTTTTATTTCCTTGTAGAAACATCGTGGTAAGCATTTTTTTTGCAGAATAAGGTAGATTTTTTTGTAAAATCCTATAAAGTATACGTTCACATTGGTTATCTTCTGTGTTATAATCTAAAGCAATCAAAGCTATCATACCCAACTATATCAGTCCTATTCAGGACCGATAACTCTGTCGATAAATATTGTCGGGTATACAATGTTGTTGAAATCAGAGCAATTGTATTATATGTCTCTGTTGAAATGTATACAATAACAAATTTTTTTACACAAGTTTAACTTTATATCGATTTATTGAATGCCTGGATTTTGCTTAAAATATTGAATTAAAAAAATAAATAATAAAATCACATTCAATGAAATCTCGTTTAATTTTTTACGAAATAATACAAAATCCATTTAAATTAAAATTTGAATCAAAATATTTCTTTAAAATAATTATAGAAACATAAATATTAGTTTGATTATCTTTTAAAGCAAAAATTATTTTTTTAAAGATATTTTTTTATAATATTCATATTTTCTAAAAGTTTATTATGATACATACTTCTTCTGGTTTGACACGGGGAAGAGAAGATATTTATTTGTACAGTTATGAAAACTTTTGTATATCACAAAATTTAAACTCTGGTAATACATGTATACACAGGATGTTTAATGTCACCTGGTTGCTTTTGGTTTGCACGTCTACCTGACAATATATTGTTATGTAACATTACATCCAAAGTCAGAGTTCACCTGTTCGTCAAGTGATGGGATTTTGAAGGTATGGAATATTTATCTATAATAATTGTTGGGATTTTTTTGTCTCTTGGGACGTAAATATTTTTTGTTCTAAAAGGAATGTATAAATATATTTCTAAAGAAAGATAAATTATACAGAAAACAGGAAAAAAACCTTTTAAAAAAAGAAGAGAAAATTTTTTATTATAAATTTTATTGTTAACTATTTTCTGGTAACAGTATATCCTGGATATCTGTCTAAATAAAATGTTCCCGTGTCACACTTAAAATAATATTTTTTTAATCAATAAATTTTGAAATCAATCATATCGAAATATCACCAAAGAAAATAACAGAAACATCAGAGATTCTACATGAAAATTAAATTAAATCAAGGAAAGTCTTACTATACAAATCCTCGATTTGATGCAACATTTCCATATACATCATCCGCCATTTTGAAAAATCCCGAAATATTCACTTTTTTAAATCGATTTTTGACCGAAATTGCCCAGAAATTAAACTGTTTTAAATAGTATTTTTCGCCAGATATATGTTTGAATATACTTAATCGATTTGCAAAGTTTTACTTTTATTAACGGAATTTCTTTATTTGTTATACAAGTAGACATGGGTATCGGTACATTTAGCATTGAGTCAACGGAGAAATAACGAGAAAAAGTACATGTTTCCACGATTCTCCAGTGACAGAATTTAATCAAAAATTAAACTGTTAGGACCAACATTGTTTGATAGAAATATGTTTGAATATCAAGGATTGATTTGCAAAAGTTAGAAAACGGGTCAGGTTCATGAGAAAACTAAACTTTATTGAAGCACATATGCATTTTATATGGGGCAATATAATACAAAATGGCGGCTAGTATACGTCACAAAAGTCACGTGATGTCTGACTTAGTTGGATATGAGTACTGAATGTCTGCAGAGGTCTCACTGCTGCATCAAATTCTGTCAATCGGTGCAATTTTCTTGAAATATTAATTGGTTTATGTCGGAAATTCAGAAGTGACGGAGCTGATAAAATTATTTTCCATCTTCCAGGTTTATTTATGTTGTCTAAAAACAGTGAAAGATATGAAACAGCCTCTTGTGAGAGTTTTCCGTCCAACATGTTATGTTCGGGTATGAAATGATTAGGAATATATTCACATAAAATCCAATAATGGAGGCGTTGGATGCATAAAAGAAAACATTGCAGCAGATTTTCGGGAATCCAATCTAATTTTTTGTCTTCTTCTAAAACCCAAAACAGCACAGTTTTCATATAATATGAACATAGCTTATCATTAAGTATGTTATTTTTATTCAATATTTCCTTTAAGAAAATTTTCAGCAACGAATAGCAAAGCAACTGACAGTGACTCAATGAATAAACTAATAGTTTTTCTGACAGAGAAAAGGAAAATCGCCATTCTAATGGGTTTCCCGCGCTACTAGAAGACTTGCTTCCAATCGGTACTAATAAAACACCTTCGGTCACTACTTTAGAAATGATATCATGTGACGGCCATCCCGATGGTCTATATCTTAGCAGCCATTTTTTTGCTACATTTGGCCATGCATGGCACTTTAAACAAGTCACGAAGTCGACATCGGATATTAAGGAATGTGATACACTTGGTCCATGAATTTCATAAAATGCATCGTCGCGTTCTTCTTTGCTGCAGATGGAATCCAAAAAGTCATTACTGGCTATAATATTTCCCTGACTAGTAATTGTTGGTGGGAATAGAAAGGATACATCATCATCAACTTTTAGTAATGCAAAACATGGTAAAGCATTATCTGTGTCAAGTATAATAACTTCTTCTTTGTTGTTAGGCATAACTTCATAAACTTCCCAAGTTTTGAACAAAAACATCATATCAACATCGCTCCCTGGAAGGTCTAGACCCTCAGCCTTCCTGCCACTGCTTATAAATTCTGAATCACTGTAATCTAATATGTCATCATGGAGTTTGCAATATAATCTTTTATATCTGACAACTTTTTCAGAACCTATTATTTCGTCACAAAGGTATTTGTATAGGCTTACTGAGACTGCCTTCAGATCAAGTACATACTGCATATTAGTAGAAACCTGTTGAATTATGACTAATAATTATACTACATTATCGACATTTAAGTAAACTGTGGTTAAAGCATTTTAATTTCATATTGGAATCGTCATTTTTTTTAAATGTATTCATTAAACAAGTTTAAAGCGACAAGAAATTACAACAAGTTCTACAGAGAGAATTTTCCGGGTAAAAATGAGGGAAGCTAGCTGTAAAACCAGGTTTAATCCACCATTTTCTACATGAGGAAATACCTGTACCAAGTCAGGACAGGAATATGACAGTTGTTTTCCATTCGTTTGATGTGTTTGCGGTTTTGATTTTGCCATTTGATAAAGGACTTTCGATCTTTGGAGGGAAGTTATTTTATTGGCAATCATTCAACATCTCCTTATTTTTATTTTATTATTCTAATATCTTAAATCATAATTGGTGGTCAACAAAGTGTCAATGTTGAATCTCAGATAACTGTATTATAAACATTATAGGACAAAATGTGTCAAACCATCTGACAATTACGAAATTAATAATACATTGGTATCGATGGCGTCACGTTGTTCCTAATGCAAACATCGATGATAAAATATGTATTTTTCCTCAGTGTTCATTCTGGTTTTTTTTTTCGTTTTGTACTGCATTTGCAACATGTTCAAAATATTTTTGCAAATTTTATAAGTCGAATGTTTGGCTTATGGGATTTGACCTTTAAAATGCTGTAAAACTGAATATTTAGTAAAAACCTGAATATTCTTATACTACCTTATAAACTTTGTGTTTAACATATTGACTGTTTTAATGATTGTCATTTAAACTTAACATTTTTTATTTAGCTTTAAATATTGGTTATAATGCAAAATGATAACATCTACTTTCAGAATATCTTTGTCATTTAATTTGAATTATTTAATCATTTTCAAATTCAATCGTCAGTATCAATTATTGTTGCTTTAAATAAAACAGAAAATAAAAAGACTTCTATTGATTACGAAATAAATGTTTGCAAGTGTGCTGTAAGGATTAGTTTTTATAGATATTATATAATCATTATATAACAAAATGTCAAAAAATTTACACAACGTTTTCCCAACCTACCTTATATTAATTCGAATTGCAAAAATTACTTACCATGCAATAATTGTTTATTGACATACCAGTCCAGTTTATGGTTCAAATTTTTCAAAATCGTGGACGATTATTCAAAACACTAGGTTATTTAAATTGATTTTAATCGAATCAGCTATTCAATTTTTAATGTCTTGGATAGTTTATTACATGTTATAACTTAGTATTAGTATTGATTTATATTTGCGAACGGCATTTATATGGGATATGATGGTTTACTTCTTTGAGTGAACATATCAAGTGACATAATAAATCAATAACATCATTCAAACAGTTTGTACACATGTATACCATCCATGATGGCAAAATTGAAGAAAAACTTTAATTAGTAATTCTGTTTTGGCTATTTATCCTATTTAAGGACGATGAAAATGAAACGTTTTTTTTTTTTATGATTTTTTTTTTTTTTTTTTTTTTTTTGCTGCAATACAAACTGCATTTCCATTTTTACGGTCGGTTCTGATGTGGTGCTGTTACACAATCATTAAATTTAAGTTGCTTATAGTTTTGTTACAGATTAGGCCGTTAATATTCTTATTTGAATTATACCACAGTTTGTCATGTAAAGACATTTTTGAGCTTGCTTTTACGGTATGAAGGCATTTGATAGTTCCTAGCATCCATGTAATTTTGGATCTGGAGGAAAGTTGTCTCATTGGCAAACATACCACATCTAATTATTCGTATATTCACTTTAATCCTTATAAAAGAAAATCAACTTCATATAGATGTTGACTTTTCAGGTCAATAATTTTGAGGTAGAATATGTATTGTAAATGAAAATAACACCTTATAAGTGTTGTTTCTCTTAAGCGCTTTGCTGGATTTACCGTAATTATACGGAACGATAGAACCTTAACATTTGAAAGCCAGGGATGTATTAATACGTAAAGACATTGAGAACATGACCAAAAGTCATGTAAATGTACCTAAATGAATAGTACTGGTTAAGTGCTGTACAAAGGAGTTTTTAAAATGCGCGTCCGACGTGCTTTATATCTAGCCTGAAATATTTACAGGATATTTTTCAACTACTAGGTCAGTCTCACTTGCTTGAGGACGTTTCGTACCCGATTGTATCACAAATCTAGAAGTCAGCATTCCTGCGCACATATCTCATTATTACACTTGAGGGGGGGGGGGGGGTGGGGGGGTTTATTTATCGGACGTTAATTTTGATAACCAAAAGGTTCCTTATGATATCTTTCGTTGATAATTGTGGGAAAAAATCTTACACCAGATGACGTTATTTTACCAAGAGTTCATACATGTTTCTAATTAAATTAGTGTCCATAATTGATCAATTATACCCATACATAATAAGCAGATCAATGTACTGTTTACTATTGAATCAAAGTAATTTTTGCTATGGTGTTTTACAAAAACTAAACATTTTGTTTGGAAACAATTACTAAATTTAGACAAATGTATATTATTTTAAGGTGGGTAAAATTGGCAAAGGATAAGAACTAAGTCCACACGTCACAGCGACAGACACTGATAGAAAAATATGCAATAAAAATCAATTTACCGCCTATGTTAATGATATCAGAATAAGTGCCTATGTCACTTTTATCAGAATAGCAAATGGTTATAACAATGATGTCCTGCTTGACTTTATCATTGGATTTACTTCCAAGTAGAATTACCCCAGATTTATATCGTTCTGTTCCTTGTAACACATGCTGGTAATCCCTTTGAATTCTTATTATTATATTTACGACATGTTGAAAAGAAATAGATATAAGAAGATGTGGTATGAGTGCCAATGAGACAACTCTCCATCCAAGTCAAAATTTATAAAAGTAAACCAATATAGGTCAAAGTACGGTCTTCAACACGGAGCCTTGGCTCACACCTAACAGCAAGCTATAGAGGGCCCCAAAAATTACTAGTGTAAAATCATTCAAACGGGAAAACCAACGGTCTAATCTATATAAAAAACGAGAAACGAAAAAAATTTTTGAACCACATCAACAAACGACAACTACTGAACATCAGATTCCTGACTTAAGACAGGTGCAAACAATTGCAGCGGGTTTAAACGTTTTAATGGTACCAAACCGTCACCCTTATCTGAAACAATAGTGTAACATCATAACATAGAAAGACACACTATAAAATATCAATTGAAAGACATATTAATGTACACTATCAAACGTATGTTGATCTGAATAGCTCTTAAAAGACTGAACAATATTAATAAGTAATTTTCAGTCTTTCAGTCAATTTTAAGAGCCATCCACTGCGGTAAATTCTTTACTATTCAGACAATTCGGTTGCAGCCAATACAGATCTGTCAAGTCTGTGTTCAGACTTTTCAGTAGTTGTTCTTACCTATACATCAACGTTATACTGACTAATTTGTCTGAAAAGTTACTGAAGAGTACTTCATTGACTACAAGCGAATTGTCTGACCAGTACTAAATTAACCGCAGTGGACTAGTCCAAAAATTGACTGAAGACTAAACATGATTGAATAGTCTATTGTCCAGACTTTTCAGATTATGTTAAGATCACAATGTAACAATCTTAACAATTGACGGATGGGTCTGTATAATGCTTGGAATCATGAAGAAAGTGCTTTCGAATGAAAAACAACTATCTTGCCGGAATTGTTTTGAAATAAATATCTCACCTAATTTGGTGGGTATTTAATTTTATAAGCCTCATATTTTATCAACAAAAGATAATGCATTACTGATTTTAATTGTCTTATATTTTTGCCATTTTTTCACAAATTAGATAATGTTTCTTTCTTACAGCATGTACAGTATATAAATTATGTCGTAAGAATTGCGGAGGAGCAAGCCGTGATTTTACACGATTTTTAGATCCTAGTTTTAGATGATTGGTGTAGACTATGACCAAGCGTGTACGTAAAGATATAATAAATCATTTATTTGTCTTGTTGTCAATTGATAACAACTATTGATTTTACTTCGATTGTATAGTGCATATGGTGCTTAAAAATATTTGGGCAGTTCTTTTGATGAATACGGATAATATAGTATTAAAAAACAAATTTCCCCTAAAATTGAATACATTTACAAGCCTATTGCATTACGTATATACACTTCTGATTTACACAATATCACTCCCTGCGTTATATGATTTTTCATTTAATGCTGATTCAAACCATAAATGGTTTCAGTGTACAAAAATAAAATAACAATAATACCGAACTCCAAGGAAAATTCAAAACGGAAAGTCCCTTATCAAATGTCAAAATCAAAAGCTCAAAAACTTCAAACGAATGGAAAACAACTGTCATATCTCTGACTTGGTACAGGTATTTCCTTATGTAGAAAATAGTGGATTAAACCTAGTTTTATATCTAGCTAAACTTCTCACTTGTATGACAGTTGCATAAACTTCCATTATATTGACGACAATGTGTGAACAAAACAAACAGACATAATAGGTAAAATGTCAAAAATTTGAATACAGCTTCCAACATTGTGCTATAATCTTAATCACTACAAAAACAAACAAATATGTCAACAAAGAAAAAACATAATGGCGTATAGACAAAGCACATAAGCAAAGCTGAAAGACAAGACTACAAAAAATGACAATAGCACAATGGCGGGATGTATAAGTACCGAGCCACGCCAAAAGGATATTACTAAAAATGGACTAGACAGTAAAGGTTAATAATATACAAAGACAAATATAAGAACACTATAACACGTTATTAAGATGATAAACTACGTCAGTACCTAGAATCTATTCTTCAAGAAAATCATGTAGTGCACAAAATGTTCACTGCCGGTTAATACAAGGTCACTTCCTGCTGATCTTCTTCAACGCTATATGTTTTAACCTAATGGAATAATGCCACTAATGCATAGCCCCATTGCTTTCTTAGTTAGATTTGGCAACTTCCAGCATTCATATGTATTTTGTCTAAAGTTCAAATAAAACGACAGTGATTCCATGTCAAAACTAAACCTCATCCTGAATTGTGCTGAAAAAAAAATCGACACTCCTTTAATTTAATACTAGAACGCACTGGTTCCCGGTTGTTGGGTAGTATTAAAACAGGTACTTTTGATCTGAGCGACGGGGTAAATGTGCCCTCCTATTTTGATTTCATATATTTTTTAATTATTCAAAAGAAATACTTAACATGGATTCTACAGTGATCCCAAGTCCTCAAGCTTTCATTTGATACCAAAATTACCTAAATATTTTACTTATTGACATAGTTACAGCTATGCGTAGGAACTATTTTATTTAAAGCATGCTTGTTTCTTCTTTCTGACCGAGCCGAATAAGTGGTTATATGCCTAATGCAAATGACAACATGGCTTTATCATATATCAGTATGAATTGTAACTAATACATCATTTAAGTACCACAAGGGCAATAACTCCTTTTAAATGTCATCGGATGATTTAAAATGAATGTGTGAAATTTATTTCATAATGTCCCAAACACTTTGTTCTAAATCTACATTTAAAAAAAGAGGTGGTATGACAACTATCAACTATCAACTTGAGACCGTTAAACATGGATGTCCACCTTTTACACTGTCAGTGGAATAGCAAGAACAAGCAGAGGTAAAAATATGGAACGTCAAACCAACCTTTGCCAGTTGCCTAACTTTAAAATCAAAGGTCAAGGATCTTAACTGAATACCCTATGTCTCTAATGCGAATTGTTGATCCTAAAAAACGGCTTACCGTGAGTTTATTTTTTTAATGATACCAATTTCCGTGGATCTTGTGAGTAACAGCAAGACACAAGGATTACAACAGTCTTGAGATTTAATTTTGGTAGAAATGACTATTGAAATATGAATTATTTAATGGTAATCCAGGATGTTCTGTACGTTTCGATGTGTGTTTGTTGTTACCTTAGACCAGTTAAAAAGAAAAGTTTGTCAAATGATAAGAAAACCTATTTTACTTAGATTTCAATTGTATTGAGGAATGTTTATTTGAACGCAAGTGTTTATTTCCGATCCTGTGCAATTATTATAAAAATAAAGTGATGTGGTATGATTGTCAATGATATAACAATCCACCTAAGTTCAAATGAGGTGGATGTAAGTAATTATAGGCAATCGCACGGCCTACAAACAAGCGTGTATGTCTCCCAATCTTATCAAAAAGACTGCATAAATATCATACAGTATGAAGTTTTAACAATAAATCATACATTTTGTGTATATCTTAAACTGTAAGTATGCTCAGAGGTAATGCTAAGAGTTCAGCGAAGGTAAAGTTTATCTTTGAATTTGACTTTAGGTTTAAGTTCAAATGTCACCGATCTCAATTCAAAAGACCCAAGGTGTTTAATATGTATGGTGTAATTGTTATATTACTTAAGAGCTTATTTCAAATATTTAAAGGGCGAAAAACCCATGAAAAAAAATGATCCTCACAAATGTTTTAAAGTTGCGCCGTGTTGTTACTTAAATTAAGCAGAACTTTTGCCGATAATTCCTATCTTTGATGAGGAGCGGCCGTAACATTGATATTGACCTTTGACGACGACCTCACTTTCCTGGTAATGGATTAAGGACTTCAAATCAACACACGTTAAGTCGACATACCATTTATGTCAAATGCAAAAAGGGAAATAACGCATAATAGATGTCACCAGAGCACTTATGTGAACTTCCATAGAAAATCTTAAGGATGGACAGAAACATTGGAAAAAAGTATTTCGATGTACTATATATAAATAAAATAGAAATACTTTACTTTCTTCCAGTCATATGAATTTCAAATCACACATGTGCAATGAACATTATCCTGGCAGGTGATTCCTATAAAGCATGTACGGAATCGTGCCGGTCATCTATGACCTCATCTCCGGTGGAAAAAAAAGCTTTGACCTGACTGCTACCCCACATGACCCCCACAGATACGTCTTGAAATGTTACCATACATTGCTAACTCTATTAACAGCTATAAAGGTAGTCTGAAGGAATTGTCAGATTGTTCACTTTATGAAAACAGTTACAAACTACTATTTCATGATAACCGCCCAAATTAACCAAAAAAGTACATTCTTAATAAAAACATGAGATTATGTTGGAGTTAGGTAAAATTTGTCAGCCTACTTCTTTGTCCATTCATTTTTGAATTGTGACTCCTATATATATATATATATATATATAGCTATTTTTGCTAATAGATGTTCAAAGGGAGATAACCAAAGTAATTTGGCTGCTGAATTATAATTACTGTCAAATTAATTAATAAGATCTATTTGGGCTGCTCGTATAATACATGTTGTCAATATAACGGGAAAATAAACAACTGTCATACAAGTGGGAGGTTTAGCTAGCTATGAAAAAAGGTGGTTTAACTATTCGATGCTGTGAGGTTTAATGTACTTCTTGAATTAACCATGGAGTTCGGTATGTTTGTTCATACTTTTTAATCACAATTTTTGATGATGAAATCAAAATTAAAATCAAATTGTAGTTTGTTCCTCGATCAATTATATTTTGTATGTTATTATTGTTATATTCACTAATTAACGAACGGTCTTGTTTTTAACCATATCCTAAATCGGCCCATGATTGTTATGTTTAAAGTTCAATTGTATTGAGGAATGTTTATTTGAACGCAAGTATCTAACTGTAACGTTTTGAATGTTATTAACTGTAAATTTTAATATAGATAAATTCATCAATTATACTTCCATGCAACTGTTTAAGGTTAAGAAAAAGGATCTTTTATTCAAATAACAAGAAGTATTTCTAAACAATACGAGTGGGAAATACATACAAAAATACAAATTTTAAAAACATTTGTGGAATGAAGAACTGTACTGTAATAATTCATCAATGATGCTGTAACATTGGTTTAAGATCAATTCCACAACGATATCATAGAATATTATGATGGAAATATATTGGTTAAAATAAAATATGAATAGATGATTAAATGATTGGGAAGAAAAGAAATAAAGAAACAATATAAATAGCTTTAAACAATGGAGTTTGTTTAGCTTACACTCCTAAAAATTCCTGACAGATGCCAAGAGAGGCTAGAACTGATCGCAACTGTAAGATTTTATTGAGAAGTTTCAATTAAATATGTTAACAAGAGCTCAATCAGCGATTACTTAAGGACATCAATATAACAGTGTTCCAGTTTTACATCGATTTCATTAGCACCATTTCAGAAAAATACAACCAACATCACGTTTAAAACATCCATTGAAAATTACTTTACTAATGAAAGATAGAAAAAACTACATTGTTCACATCATAAAACGCGAGCATGGTCAAATTAAACGTGTTTCTGATGCAAAGTTTTTATTTCTTTTAAGCATTTGCCAATGATACAAAATCTGACGATCAATTATTATATTATTTGTCTAAATGGCGTAAATTACAAACACAAGACGATGAATTGTAAACATATAATGAACGTTCAATTTTACGAATAACGTTGTTTAATGATCTGGATTTAGTAATCAATTTGTTTGACCATTAACACATTTGCAACATCCGGGCATATAAAATAAATCTATTTCCATCTGATCAATACTGTCTGCGTTATTTTTGTTAAACCCTGGTTTATATACTACTGCTGTTACCAAGTCCATTTGGTGCATACATGTACATCCGGTACAACCAACTGCTTGACTGAAAATTAAACAAAACAGTCGTTAGTTTATATCGTGGTATAGAATTCAATTATCCTGACTGGATCAGATGAGACCCTTTTTTATAAATTACCAAGTCTACCGGAAAATGCAAACTCATCATTATTTTTATTTAAATTTGATGTTTTGTAAAATTTGTATTTATGAAAAGTATTTTGATAATCAACAGCGTAAATCTTCATAATAAACTCATCATAGATACCAGGCTGGACATTTTGTACGCCAAACGCGCGTTTCGTCTACAAAAAACGCTCTAATCAAAATATATATATATTGTCTGAAATAGAGGTATGTCCAGTTTCAAACCATAGCCAAAGTACAAAAATATTCTACTGTCGAATCATTATAAGTCGTCATGTACAATTGTTCGCGGATTTAGTGGTTTTAGGATTACTACGAACTTAATTGTTCAACAAAGTACAAATTTTCAATAGGATTGTATACTGACCTTGGAATATCTTCAAAATTAATTATCCACAAAAATGGGTTTTTTTTCCGCAATCCACGAAAATTCACACCCATGAATTAAAATAAATCCACACTAATTGTTCATCAAATTTATAGTTTATCTTTAAATGTTTATGCTTTAGCATAGATTACTATTTATTAATGCTTGAAGATTGCGTTTTTAGTAGAATTTGGTAAAAAAAAAAAATCAGGGAAAAAGTAAAAAATCGGTCTTTCGAAGCCGAAACCAACATTGATAGTATAAGTAGCCAAACAAACGTTATGAGACTGATTGCATTGCGCATTTTCCTGGGGGGAAATATCTCGTGGTATGCAGTAGATACTTGGGTCTTGCATACTGAAACAAAATTGACATAAAAAGGACAGTCAATATTAAAAATTAAATGTCAATAGTACAATTATCAACTACAGATTAACGGAGAATTACATGTATAACCTCGGACATACTCTGATAAATGTTAGACATACAATATATGTCTACCATGATGGTTCTCTATGTCCATCATTGGACTACCTGCAATTTGATTAATACACAAGGTATGAATAGCAATACAATCTCCTGTCAATGTTAAATAAAAGTGCTGATTGTTCCTAAGTGATGAAATCAAAAAGCTAACAGGTAAATTATCACATGAGCATTATAAGTCTTTCACTGAATTGAATTTTAGATTAGTGAAACTTTTACAAACAAACATCAACTTTATCATGTTATATTGGTCCCAGATTTCAATAAATGTTATATGATGGAATCTGTTATTTTAATTAGACTGTGAGGTTTTGGGTTATGGGTTTTAATTTTAGTTTGCTTGATTCAATTTTATCATTAAAATATTTTTTGTCAATCTAAGAAGAAATGGTTGTCATCTTCTCATCATAATGCAAAACTTTCAAACTTTCTGTTTTCTATGGATCTTTTTATTTATCTCCCTTTCCTTTAAAAGGTTGCGTTTACTATTTCTCATTCTGAATTTTCATTTCATATTGTTTTTAAAGTTAAATAATATATAATAAAAAAACACAAAGCTCCCCACAAAAATTTTTTTTTGTAAATAAGAGAAAAGTTATCTCTAAATTGAAAAAAAAATATCTTGGAAAATGACAAGACCAATTTACCTGTACAGATAAAGTTTTATTGCAACTGCAGAGTGTCATACACTTCTCGTATCAACAGTTAAATAAATTGTATCACATTAGGTAGCCTAATTACGTTGACCCCAAGCCCATGTTTTATGAATCTATTTGAATTGCTACCATCTGTTGATAATTTAGCAGAGTATGTCACGGGTTGTACTGTATGCGAACAACTACAAGTCACCTTAAGACTAAGATGAAGAAAGTTTGATGTCGCTTTGTTTGAGATAGTGGTATGTCACCTTTGTTTGAGATAGTGGCATGTCACCTTTGTTTGATATAGTGGCATGTCACCTTTGTTTGAGATAGTGGCATGTCACCCTTGTTTGAGATAGTGGCATGTCACCTTTGTTTGAGTTTATTGGCAACCTTTTTTTAGGTAAATAGCATAACTAAGGGTTTTGTAATTATCAATAAATTACGAATGGTGCCACTGTTGGAGTAGGAACTGTTGACTCTTTCGGAACAGCCGAGTTCACCCAAGGTTTTCATTGGCTGTATCGTGTAAAATAAACCCGTGTATTATCTTGCGCCTATTTAGCTAATAAGTTAACTTTGTTGCAAATGTATACTTAACAAAAACATATTCAGTTTGCAACAACACATCAAAACTGTCTCCAACAGCCGTTTTCGCACAGAATAATGTATGTTGAAAAGTTTAGGAAGCATATCATTTTCAGACAATTTTTTTCAACAACTGTACATCAGTTTTTCGAGGGTGACCTTGTGAGAATACAAACTACTTTCGATATCAAGTATGCACAGCAAGAATTCCCGTGAAGTATACCGTTTTTAACAATATGACTCAAATATTATCGTTTACCATGGCGTTGCCGAATTCGAAAATTTTATGATTATAAATTAATGCTACAAATTTATTTTATGTTGTTATGCTAATGCTGTATATCCAAATTTTGTCTAACATTTTGTTTGAGCATCATATGTGTACACTAGTAAACCAGATTTGAACGGAAACGGATATTTTTATCTGAAGAGCCCTTAAAATACTAAACATTGAATTATAAAGACATGTTCAGTCTTTCAGTCAATTTTCAGTCTGAACAACTTGCAGCCATCAGATCGGTCTACCATGTTTAAATTGTTAACTTGTGGTTTTTTACCTGTACAAACAACAACATACTGAATTGTCAGAAAAACTACTGAACAGCACTGGATTGGCCGCAAGCCAAACATCTGAACGATACTAAATTTATAAAAATTTATCTGAATATTTTTTTAAACTCTTATACGAACTTAACCGGTTTTAGGTTCAACCTTTTTCAGATGTTTTAAATTGGCGTTTAAAATTTAAATCCGTTTACTAGTGGGTTGTTTTTTATAAACAGCATATATTTGTCTTCGACATATTGTATTGTAATAGAAACAAAATTAGTTCCTGAAAAGTGCGACACATAAACTATTATCGCCTTTTACGTCATTACCTGCAGTTGTCATTTTTGAAGACTTGACGAAATTTATTGAGATGAACTAAGTCTTTTTGAACCATTAATATATTATGCATCTTATCTGGTGATATGAAATTTACATTTCTGAAATTAAAATTATAAATTGCGTTATCATACATTTGAATGTCAATAAAGATGCAATCTTAAACAATATCAAAGTGTAAAATTGAGGTTCGGAGTAAGAGATGACAGCAACTGTTCCTTGTAATCCAAATCGTTGTAAATACATTAGAGACGTTATTTTCGTTGGTAATACACTATTTTATAATCTTAGAGTGTGGTGCTAAACAAACTCTTTTTACATCTAACTGTAAAATATTTTCCAAATTGACTACCTATAACGGATTATAACATAGAAATATTTAACGGCAAGCGGTACATTAAAAAATGAAAACAATACTTTATAAACTTTATGCGTCCAAAGCGATTTTCTGAACTCACCTTTATAAGGAACGCTCAAAGTCGAATATTTTAAAGTCAAGAATGTATAAGAACCGAAGCAGTTGAAGATCTATATGAACAAACAGGACCTACAAATAATAGCCAAATCCATCCAAGGTCAACTTTGCCTGCGGGAGTTGAAACCTTAGTTTCTTAATAATCTATAAATTTATGAAAGGACAATTACTGTTATGTATAATTATACTTACGAAACACAACACGCATGGTAAACGTCGTTTGTTGTTGCACGTTTCTGTCGTTTTAATGTTGTTCCATTATAATTGTTACAAGAAAATGAGCAATTTTTACCATCGTCAAATGTCTGATTAACGGGCTGCAAAAATATCGCTCCTTGTAAAACTAAATTTTGAAAGTTGATACGATTTTCATACATTTTGAATATTGCTGGAAAACGTTTAATGAGATTATCTTTGGTTATATTTGTATCTACATTGATAGTTGTTGTATTGATAATTGTAGTTCTATGTACACTGTAAAGTAAAAAAAAGACACAATTTAAGATAAAATAAAAACAACATTCAAGTAATTACTTTTCCAAAATTGAAATTGATATGTCAATTATTTACTTAATTTTAAGTATTCAATTGAATACTATAAGAAAACAAATATAAGGGCTTTTAAAAGGTATGAAATTTTTTTTTCGAAATTCGTTTAATGCAATATCGAAACCTTTTCTTAATTTTCAAACTCAATTGAATAAAAGGAGAGAAAAGTATTGAAAAGCTCTTAATATGCATGTCATAAATACAACATTTATTCAACGAAATTATTCATAATTAGGTTTCAGCTGCATGTGTTCTAATAAATTTAAGATGTGAAAAGATGTACAGTTATTAGATCGAGGTTCAACTATAAACTCAAATTTCGGACTGAAAACAATTAGAATAGCATGATATCAGTACAAATCATAACCAGTTACATTGACAATGCAAGTCTTTACTTAATCATATTTGAGAATAAGTGAGATTGACGATAGACTTATAATGTCAATAATGAGGTTACCAATTCTAACACTGCGACAACAAACCAAATGATTATGGCGACCATAAATATGTAAATAGTAAAAAGAGAATGTCTTCTTCATGATCACGATCAGGAAAGTGGTATAGCTTACTTCTGTTTATACAAGGGATAGACGGAAAAGAAGTTATAATGTCGTATCGTATCAGCTAAGATGAAGAAACGCCATACTTTTGTGATGATGGTATTCGTCTTGTTATGAATGAGAAGTTGACAACCATAAACACTAAAAGCAACGCTTTGTCATACATAATAGTACAAGTATTAAATAGTCTACAAGCCACAAATTATAGATAAGAACTAAATATGAACCGTTGCTTCTTGCGTCTGTAGTATCGTTAAATTCATATTCACATGTATATGAAATATAAAAAGTTAGTGAAAGAAAACGTCTAGTAGTTTAATTGAACCTTTCATAATCATGTGTAAATTAAAATATAACATGTATAAGGCTAATAATTTTCAAGACGGTGTTTTTATTTGTGAAGTACAAAATATCTCATGTTTGAAAACAAATTGTTTTCCACTTATACTTTGTGATATTCAAAGTGCAGTATGCTGTTTTCCTTTACTCTAGGTTGAACTTTGTTTACTGATATCGATAAAAAGAAACTAAATAGTACATACAATAACTCTCGCCAAACCAGGACGCCCACTGCTGCTATTGTTGTTAGCGTGAAGAATGCAGTAAGCCCTGTCTGTAAATAAAAAAACAATGTTTTTTTTCTAAATGCAGGAATTAAGAGACCTTATACAATAGTACAAAGTAGACGTAGACAAAAAATTCATATACAAATATACAAAAATTCATATACAAATATACAAAAATTCATATACAAATATACAAAAATTCATATACAAATATTCAATTTATAATTCAAAAGTGTTTTTGGAAACTAGCAAAAAAGTCTAAAAGATTTTTTTATAAACTAGAATGTATGACTAATACCACTCTCTTTGATACCTTCAATTTCGAATCTCGAAAAATATTTCAAATAAGCATAAATTAAGGCAACAGTTGTTTCTCGGTGTTCACATCTCATTTTTGGCTTAGGAAGACCGATCAAGACAAAAGAAAAAACTAATAAGAGCGAAACCGGGCGCGTCGACTAGATAAGCGATTCCTGTTATGCATTCATGACCCGCCATGCACATCTACATTAAGTCAAAATGACAATCAGAAATAGGTCCAAATTAGAAAGATAGAAGATTAGACGATTATTCTGGTGTCTGACAAATCATGACATATGTTCATTTATCTCTGAATTTTCTCTTTTATTACATTTCGGACCTTAAACTTTGTTCTATTGCGTTTGTTCACTACCATTCCATGATTCACTTTCCTGAACGGAGCATTCTGCGAACATGTTTTGGAGTAATAAATACCGTATGATGTAAATTATATTCCATATCAAAAGGCATCATGCTCTAAAGTTCCTGACAGCGATCGAATCAATATGTATTAAGTCCATCCAAAGCTGTCCTCTTAGGAAGTAAAGGAATATTAACGAAACATTACAGAATTTTTCAAACTTTTCCAAAATGTAATATATATTGTGATATACTAGTATTGAAAAATGATAGGTCACCGAGCTTGTTTTCAACTTACAGGTTGTAAAAAAATCACATATTTTGTATGGATTATATATATATCATAATGTGAATAGAGGTAAACTAAATATTAGAATTTTTAAATAAAATTTAAGCAGGAGACCTCTTGTAAATTATTTTCAAAATATAAAAAAAAACAATTGGGTCACTGCTATGACTCAAAATAGAAAAAAATTATGTAGATTTCATTACCAATTATACAATTTCTGATTTTCCTCCAATTAATATGCAAAATTAAAGGAAAATTGAAAGAGCAAAAAATTCGAACCTTTGACAAATATAAATTAAGTAGTTATAAGCTAAAATCATATTTGTTCATTTAAATGAAACGTTTTCTTAGTACCTATTGTGGTCTGCTATTTTACAATCCAAGATGAAATAAACTCCTATACAACCTTCATACTGATAATCGTCATCACGAATACATGATATATTCAATATCAATGTAAACATTAGGCCATATGTATTGCAAGAGAGGCGACACTTCTGTGCAGATATATATTTAGCTCTTTTCTCTTTGTCGTGAACTGTGATAAATTTACGCAATAGCCTAGCCTAGGTGTGGAGTGTGTGGTAGAATGTCTTGGAGACCGGCACTGAATATGTTAAAGTCACTGTCATCTAGTGTTCTTTTATGTCATCTGTTTGATTTCAGCAATAAAAGAAGGCATGTGGACTTGTCCTATTTTAGAAATACATATATTCACGTAGTGACAGTTATATTTGAAAGCTAAACAACAACATAATATAAAAAAAAAACTAAATAAAAAACGGGACAGAAGAACACAAACAAAAGAAAACAAAAGCAAATGTACAAGAAGAAACCATCCCCAAAAAAATCGGAAAACTAAACAATTAAACCAAAAAAGCTGCGCACAAAGAAATAAAACGAAATAAAAACAAGGAAATAACACAAATTAAAAAAAGACAATCAAAACACTAGCTATAGGGAAAAGGGATATATGATGAAAGACATCAATTCAATTTCAACTTGAATATTCTAATACAGTTAACTAAACAAATTCCAAATCATGTCTTTCTTGCTAAAAAATTGAAAACAATCATATCTACTAATGTTTATGTGTTAACAACGATGAATAATATGAAACACGAATTTACTCAATTTAGACTTGAAATAAAGAATAATACAGACAAAATTGAATCTGTTTCCTATCTAGTGCCTGGCAGTAAACATGTATTCGAACTAAACTTAATGGCTAAAGATTTTTGTTAATATGATGAACTTTCCATTTCTTTGTACCTGCCTTCACGCATTGCGTTTGCATATAGAAATACAATGTAGTACTGGTCCCTAAATTGGAGCAGGAACTTGAATATATCTTTTTTCATTGTGGGGTTCGTGTTCAATAATTTGTCATGTTCTTGTGAAAAGTGTTGATGACTGCTGTTCGTCTTTTCTTCTTATGAATTTGAATTGTCCTCATGGTATCGTTCATTTCCTTTGAATGCATATGTATCTGCCTACTACATATGAAACATATATATGTACACTTACGAATATCTTATCACACTTTGGTTCCATTTCTGCAACATACATTTATCACAAAACATCAACACTGTCATTCTGAAATATAATTCATAATAATTTTTTAAAATAGCTAAACACTTTCCTTTCCAGGTTTTTTTTTCGGGAGCTCTCAAAGAAATATTTACGTCTACTTATCCGTGGGATTAGCTGATAGCTTTTAAACAGATGATTATATTGTTGGACTTTAAAGATAAGAAAACAACTTATTATAACTCGATGGGACATCTAAACCTATTTAATTATTTTCAACGAATTGTTATAAACAAACATATCAATTCTCAGCGTACGAGTAGATAAATCAAGCTTAAAATTTATCAATTTCAAGCTATATTCATGTACTTGAATAGGTAAACATACACATGCCGTCGACAAATACAAAGGTTTGCAATGCACTTTAACTAGATCATCTTTAAATCTTCTTTAACACTTGTTTTATATTTATTTTATGAACGTTATTCCTTGTGTTGGGAAAATTCTTTTACACAAAAATAAACGTCAACTTTAATCACCAGCTAGTATTTCCGTAATGAATTTGTTAGTGCTGTTTGCATTTGAGCACCTTTGTATATCCTAAATCATTTGTAAATGCAAATACTGTGGATTCATTTATTTTCGTGGATACCAATTTAGTGGACTCAGGAAATATTGTATTTTCGTGGATATTTGATTTCGAAGTTTAGCCAAAGTTTGCATACAAGCTTATAGAAAATTTGTACTTCGTTGAACATTTGAGTTCGTGGTTTACTTCCACCCACGAAATTAACGAAAAGTGATATTCCACGAATAATAATGAATCCACAGTACACAATTATAGATGAAATACTGTGTTCAATATGCCGACCAAATTAAATTTACTTAAAACAGCAACATTGAGGAAAAACCGGCTAACAGTTAAAAGAAACAGTAAACACAGAAGAAGGAAACATATATTTCTATTCTCTATTCTACCATATAACTTCAAGAATATGACATGTAATGTTGTCATTTTAATGTTATATTTAACATTGCCATAAAAGCGGGAGGTTTGGCTAGCCACAAAACCAGGTTCAACCAACCATTTTTTTTCTTAAAATGTCCTGTACCAAGTCAGGAAAATGGCCATTGTTAAATTATAGTTCGTATCTGTGTGTGTTACATTTTAATGTTGTGTTTCTGTTGTGTCGTAGTTCTCCTCTTATATTTAATGTGTTTTCCTCAGTTTTAGTTTGTAACCCGGATTTGTTTTGTTCTCAATCGATTTATGAATTTCGAACAGCGGTATACTACAGTTGCCTTTATTTACAGTACGTACGGTCTGTCATTTAAACAGTTACAGTAAGGTTTCTTAACAAACTATTGAAAACTGATATCGTTCGTTTTTAATATAAGAATGTAAAATATTTGACTGACATTTAATCTTATAATGGATAGTGTGACATTCAGTCTTTACTTTTCTTTTCTGTGTTTTGTGTACTGTCGTTTTTCTTTTCGTCGTTTTCTATTTTTGGCCATGGCATTGTTAGTTTGTTTTTTACTTAAGATCTTGGATGTCCCTTCGGTATCTTTCGCCTCTCTTGGGATGTCTTTATGACGTTTTAAAATATGTTTATCTTGAACCTGTATAAAGTATTGGCCACTGGACGTTAAGCAAACAACAATCATCAGTCAGTATAAAAATGTCGCAATAAACGTATTCGACCGAAAATGGTAATTTCAAGCATAGTGTTTGGTCAAAATGTATATATGAGCAAAAGCTTCACTCAATAATATACTACACAAACATTTATATATTTGTATATAACATTTTGTAGCCAAATATCTTAAAAGGTAAAAGTGTTGCTTATATCTATATATTAATAACCAAGTCTCAAAATGAGGCTTTTTTTCAATGTATGTTATTTTGCAATAAATGAGTTTAAAAAATGAAAACAACACGTTATAAATTTCATGCGTCCGAAGCGCTTTTCTGGATTAACCTACATCTGGAACGCTCTAAGCCGAATATTTGAAAGCCAAGGATGTATAAGAACCTAAACAATTGAAGAGCTATATAACCAAAAAAGCGCTCAGGCTAATATGTAAGACAAAATTCAAAATAATTATTTCCAACAGACTTATGTTTTATGAACATCTGAAGGAGGTTTCTTGGTTCATTTGTAATACATGTACTTTTTTATTTTCCAATTCAATGGGCAAAAAGGTTGTTTTTTCGTGCCTTCTTGTTGGCCCTATAAATTTAAAAGTGAAGAAAAAAGATAGTTGAAGTTTTTTTAATGTTACATTGTATCAAAATATTCGTTTCTGTGTTTCTTAAATCCCACATTAGAATAAATCGCAATTGGGGTTATCTTTTGGATGTCTATTTAAACTGATCATTATATTATATCGTCGTGTGAGTGTTATCTAAATATTAATAACAAAGTCTCAAAATGAGGCTTTCTTGCAATGTATGTTGTCGCGCAATAAAGGAGTTTAATTAAAGCCCTCAGGATTATATGGAAAATTGAATGTGCCGTTTGAATACACACTATCATAAATATCTGTTTGAGATATTGTAAATTATTTAGGAATTGACTTTGGTGTCTCAAAGAGCAAGTCTCTGTTCAACTTTTTATTTATAAACAAGCACTTTAAATGAATAAAGCCACCCTTTTTCTTGAGATAGAAAACTGCAAACATGTTTTTTTTTTTTTTCAGAAATTATTTCTTTTAATTCTATTGAAGATATTGAACAATTAAATCTGTAATATCATTTATTCTGTAAAGCTTGATTTGCTGAGTATTACTCATAGATTGAGTTCAAATCATGCAAAATATTCAAGCATATTATTACTAAGTTAATTTTGATTGCAATTATTTTAGCAAAAATATCTAGAATAAGAGAGGAGAGACAAAACTATCAAAATATTGTTTCACTGAACTTCCGGTGCCCAACAAGATGAATAAGTAAGTATGATGCAATGGTAAGTGTTGAGATAGAAAAAGGTAGAAAAAAATCGAATAATGGAGAACTCTCGTATTATAGTTGTATAGCAAGATAGACTCTTGCACCTTGATCTCAAATATATAGCTATTTCTATATTTGTAACAAAAGAAAACATAGAAGACTCACACGACGATATTTCAATTTAATCATTTCCCTTTGGATCCTCATTTAACTATTCGTTGTAATATATTTCCATTTAATCGTTTCAGATTCATTTTATCACCTATAATATACATTTAATCGCTCCATCAACTAAGATGTGTCATTTAAAGATATACATTCAGGCGTTAAATTCAGGCTTTTTGATCCATATAAATGATCACAAATTAAATTTCATCATGATTGATAGCTCTTTGACAGCCTTATCAAATAATTTTTGGGGTTTTTGTAGTGTGTTAATGGGGGAAACCGAACACTTAGTGTCTTCAAATATATAATTTCGTCATGCTGTAATGTTAAATAATTTTTGTTAAATATTTTGTTGTGGACAGTATTTGCAAGCATACAATTTGAAATGCGCAATTTGGTCTTCAGATAAATTAAAATATAATGCATTTGTATACTATTAAAGGATAAGAATATTTTCTAAATTAATATTATTTTCTTTCTTTTGTTTTGTCTGCATACTTACGGAAAGTTTTTTTATTAGAAAACTGTATTTCAAATGTTTACCATTAATAACTGCAACTTCAAAACGTTGGAACAATTGACCACTGATGTCCGGAATATGCGGATCTTTTTATATTGCACATTAGAGAAGAGTTCCCAAAATTAACGTTTACTTTAAAGTAAAGTTCAGTTTAGTATATATGTAATTAGCTTACCTGTGTTTAATAATTGAGAACAAAAACAATTCGTATTCTTTATATGCATCCTTATTCCTTATTTGTCAAATTATACTTTTATTATCACAGATCAAAATAGTTTGTATTGCCATTAATTCCGGTTTATAAATATTAATGATCACCTGCTTAAACCTTCCCTATTGGTACGCCTAAATACCTCTTGATCATAAAATGCGTCTTATCGCCATTAAAAACTATTATCTAGTACATTGTGGAAATTCTATAAATGGATATTTATGATATGATATTTTGATATATTTTACTTTTGAAAAGATGAGGATATATTATAATAAATGTTTTATTATATTTACTATTTTTGTAATACCTATCAATTCTATCGTCTCTGGAATAACATTTGTAATCTAACAATTGTTTTTATTATTCGATAATTGTTTTTATCATCAAACGTAACCATCCATCGACATACCTTCTCATATTTTTTTATTTAATGTAGTTACTGTGAAAGTACTTTTATTCGTGAGTATTAATTTTCGTGGTTTGAGCAAAAGCTACGTGTTCGTGTGTTCTTAATTCTTAGATTTTAGTTTTCTTTAAAAATCGACTGCAGAATTTGAAGCCATCAGAAACGAAGATTCTTGAAAATAATCATATGTCGTTTTATAACGATTTGTGGGACATAGCAAACTAAGGTGTTCATTTTCACTAACTTGTTCGTCTCTCATTGCTGACAATGTTCGTCAAATTTTTCATAAAATATTCATTTTCGGAAATAAGCTGATTCATCTATAATCACAAATTGTCTCGATTGAAGGCATTGAAAATTTTGCGCACGTGTGATCAGAAGTGATGATACTAATTAACCCTAGATCGATGATCAACTGATAAACGATCATCAAAAGTGTTAATTGAGTCATAGCCATGTCACTTAAAGAAAACGGTTACAAATGCAACAAATGTACTTTGAATGGTTTGAACTGAAAAAATAATTCTTATGCAACCGCAATATGAAATTTCTATTTTTGTCTTCGTATGAAAATTACGCGGAGATGAAATGAACACTTCATCGTTGCTTTACAATAAATAGTTTACTTTAGATCATCGCATATCATCACCAGAAGTCAGACTTGTATCGATCTCAATTTTCATAAGAGTTCAAAGGTTAAAAAGTCGTACAGTTTAGGATTTTTAAAGATTGAATGGATAAAATCCTGTCTGAAGTTGTATAGTTCATGGCACGTTTGCTGATATTCGATGTATTCTCAAGTTTATATACCCGTACCCATGTAGTCAGACCTACATGGGAGTCTCTCCATGTCTTGATTTGGACAACAATTAGTTTATTTCGTTTGACACTTAAATTCGTGGATAAAGCAATGAACGAAAACTATGAAAATTGGTACACCACGAATAAAAGTATTTTTACAGTATGTTGACTCGTGCTTTTATTGTCCCTTTTTATATCCGCTCCTGATTATTTATGTTGTGATCATTGATATTTGATATTAAAAACTAATTTTAACAGTGTTGACTATTTCGTTGCTGCCAGTTTTATATGGTGGAGCAAGCCGGGGTTTCCGGAGAGAATCACCGACCTTCGGATGGAAAACTGACAATCCTTGTCAATAAATATTGGATTCCCGTGCGACGTTTTAACACACAACTGTAGTGTTATCATGTTTATTTGAAACCAAATCACATACTACATACAGCTAAATGAATAAATATATCTCCTTCAGTGGGTTTTTTTTTTGTGTGCAATAGAAAGATAGAAATTTAAACTTCTAATGTTTTCATCTGTGGTCTGTCGTTTTTTTTCTTACATTACCACTTAATGGGATTTATTGAAAATTTCTATTCATGGTAATTGTTTAAAAACAATAAGAAAACAATTCATAAATTTTGACCAAAGGATGTATGAGAACCAAAACAGTTGAAGACCTATGCGACCACAAAGGACCTTAAAAATAGACAAACCAATCTTAGATCAACTTTGCTTTAGGGAGTTGAAACCTTAGTTTCTTTATAATTCATAAATCTATAAACAGGCAATTATTAAAAGGTTTGTTAAAAATCTTGTCAGAACCAATGTACGGACTACTGAGCTAGTGATAACATCGGAGACTGATAGTCAACCAGCAGCTGTATCGACCAAAGTTGTTAAAAATGAAGACAATACTTGATAAACTTCATGCTTCCGAAAAGCTTTTCTGGATTTACCTCCATCAGGAACGCTCAAACCAAGAACCGAAGCAGTTTAAGAATGGTATGACCAAAAAAGACCAACAAAAATAACCAAACCCTTCTTAGGTCAACTGACGTGCTGTATTAAATTAGGTTAATTGAATACGGAACCAATTTTATGAAAATTTTCATCAATATTGATGGTACCTTTTGGCATAAAGAAAGAAAAATGACAGTGGATAATTTCCTTAGTATTTATTGTGATTTCTAATTAAAATTGAGCCGACAGACTTAACTCTGTCCCTCGATGAATGCACCATTGTGTCTTTGAGATTTTAAGCAATCTTGGTTTTGTGTGGTGGTGGGGTGTGATTTTGACATGGATCGATAGTCCATTTCCTTTTTTCATTGCAAGTAACAGTTTTTGTCAACATTTGTCTTAACTATGACTATCACATGTAACATACGGTGACCCATAGTTGTTAACTTCTATGTCATTTGGTCTCTGGTGGAGAGTTCTATCATTGGCAATCATACAACATCTTTGTATTTTTTATAATTTTCGACTAAATAACATCAAACAATAAAATCCCAACATTTTAAAGAATAAATGAATCAGCTGTACATGTACACACTGATAAATCCAAATGTGACATACTTTCTCAATTTTGCAAAACCTTCTCTTGGTATATACAAGTGGAAATAGTAGTTTATCAATTTTCAAATCGGAAAAATCCATTTTGAATATGCATCAACAGAGCTAGCGTCTCCAGCTGTACTTGTACTATGCTTATTCACATGCTATCAGAATGTCATGATAGGGAACCGGTCACAATGGGTATCAGATAACTACTTCTGGTATCTGTAGACTTATGACTAATTAGACAAGACACCAAATTGTAACCTATAAATTGTGTATAAACATGAATTTGTTAGAATATTGAGGATCAAATTGGCACTATAGCTCCACTAAATTTATGCATCAATAACTACCGTTACTTTCAGAGTTGTGAGTAAGAGTAAGAAATGTCGAGAAATTGCTTTAAAGTCGGTATATTTCGTAGCAACTATTGATTTATCAACACAGCTGTTTGTGAACTATTTGTAACAGAGAGTACCATCCTCAAATATTTATTATTTTGGTATTGACGAGTTTTCAAGTAGTTCCAACATCGTTTCAATGATGTTTTTTAAATATATTATGTTTACTCTGGGATGATCACAAAGTTATTAACATTTCTATTTTGACAGGATTAATCAAGTACTTTTTTTATTGTGTTATTACGTAGGTTTTTAATTTCAAAGTTAATACAATATACATACATTATTACTTGTGAAGGTTTTTATAGGCGGATATCCTTGTTTAATTTAGTACACATTTCCATTTCCGTCATATCATTAATAACATAAACTGAACAATTTAGTGAGTTTGGTGAAAATCTGTTAAATAATTGATAAAAGCATTTTACATGTTTTATCGACGTCTATGAATGGACAGTTATGGAATATCCATTTCACAGATGACAACGGATATGTTCCACTTGTCGTAACTACAATCCCGTCCACTTTTCCATGAATGTGACCTACAAAATACACTTATCATCGGGTTTGTACTAACACAAGGAACACGACGGATGGCACATGTGAAGCAGGATCTACTTACCCTTCCGGAGCACCTGAGATCAGCCCCAGTTGTTGGTGGGGTTCGTGTTGCTCAGCCTTTAGTTTTCTATGTTATTTTTGTGAACTGTTGTTTGTTTTTATTTTCTATTTTAGACATGGTGTTGTCAGTTTATTTTCGACATATGGGTTTGAAGGTCCTTTTTGGAATCTTTCGCCTCTCTCCTGCACAAATATCACAATGCACGTAGAACACTAAAACTGTGAACGCGATCTTTAAATATGTACCTATTTTAATTCTTAAAAGGATCTGATATCCTGCGATCAAACTTTTTTTCCTTTACTCATTTTGTCTCTCCTTTTTCAACACACTTTCCATCAAGTGTGGACAGCATGCTTAAAAAATCTATTTGTATATTTTGATGATTTACCTTTAGGTTCTTTTCAATAACAAATGTTATGATAACTTTGAAAAATAACTATTTCTTCTTTTATAAGTTTTTTTAAGATAAACATGGTGTTATTAGAAAAGTCTTCCACAGTAGGTTTCTTATGTCATTCTTGTCCGTGATAAATAACTACGATAGTAATATTTTTTTAAATAAATCATATGCACATTTTGCTCAGGGGAATAATTGAATAAATAACAATGTACAATTTTTCATGAAATTGAAAAGCACAAAAACAGTTTTACCGGTTTTCTAAAGTGTCGCTTATGGTGCACGTTTACTAAGGTTAATGCATTTACAGCATCCGTGTAAATAAAAAAGGTCTATTTCCAGCTGTGAAATGTATCTGGCTGTTGCTGATGTGTATCCAGACTTGTAGACAACTGCTGAAGTTGCTTGAGCAATGTAGTGACAAATGCAACCAGTACAATGAATGGCTTGTCTGAAAGAGAAAACAGTACAAAAAATAGTTTGTCTGAAATAAAAACCAATACAATCAAAATCAAAAGCTTGTCTGAAAGAGAAATCATTAAAACCAATGGTTTGACTGAAATTGAAACCATTACAATTAATAGCTTGTCTAAACAGACACCAGTACAACTAATAGTTTTTCTAAAGAAAAACCAATACAACAAATATCTAGTCTGACATGAAAACCATTACAACAAGGAGAAACCAGTACAGCAAAATATCTTGAAAAATAATAAATTACGTGAAAAGGAAAAAGCAATGACAGGTTACAATATACAGTTTGTCAAAGTGAGGTTTTATAGTTGCACTTACTTTAAACATGTTAATAGTTATCAAAGGTACCAGGATTATAATTCAATACGCCAGACGCGCGTTTTGTCTACATAAGACTCATCAGTGACGCTCAGATCAAAATATGTATAAAGCAAAACAAGTACAATGTTGAAGAGCATTGAGTACCCAAAATTCCAAAACGTTGTGCCAAATACGGCTAAGGTAATCTATTCCTGGGATAAGAAAATCCTTAGTTTTTCGAAAAATTCAAAGTTTTGTAACATGTTTTTAAAATCATATTTAAAAAAAGATCAATATTCTTATTTAATGAGCAAGTTGATTGTTTATCTCTTATCATTATCATCATTGGGTTATATAAGGCTTGCATTCTGTCGTCGACACAATAATATTATATTTAGACTATATATGCTATAACTGAAAACAAATAGGTTACGAAACGTTCAGCCTGCTGATCCAATACCTGAAAAGGGAAGTTAAACTGAAAAATTAACGTTCTACAGTTGACTGCCTGCTTGAATAAAACATCAAATTTATTCCGATTGCCAATTCAAAAACTTGCTTTACAACGTGAATATTTCAACACAAACACTTAGCAAAAACCAATAGTGTGATCGCTACATAAAAGACGTATTGTGATCCGGTTTTCTACTAAATAGTAAGTTCATTCAAAGTGTAGTTGTACTTCAACAAACGTTGCAACTGTTTCAAAGTTTACTTTATCACCGCGTTTGCTATTCCTTATGGAATTTGGTCTTTACGCTCATATTCAAACTTGTATGTGGTTCTATTTATCCCAAGCTTTATACTGAAGGTAACATCGTACTATGTTATTCAATGCTTAAGTTTCCTACCAAATCTTAATGTGATATATGCACTATTCCGACTTTGATATTGTGTTGTAACACCACTGTTACTGATTATAGCAGGATTGAGGACAAACATCTTTAACCCCGCCACATTCTTTCAATGTTTGCCTTTGGTTCACGTAGGTCATTTATTTCATGAATGGTTTTGTTATAAACAGGGCCGTTGGTTTTCTCAATTAAATGGTTACACATTTTTAATTTCGATTTTAACTTTAAAGCCGACTATACGGGGTTACTCATTGTTGGTGACCGTACGGTTGTCTATAATTTGAACTTTGGTAGATAGTTGTCTCATTGGCAATCATACTACAGTTCCTTATTTTAATATTTATAATAAAGACAGTCAAAGTCTCACCGTGAAAATTATTCGATAGTGATATGTTGGTCTTGAATCAAATACAGCTCTTACATGAATTAAAAACTAAATGATAGAATAATAGTAACATATAGAGAAGGAAGATTTCGTAAACAGGCAAAATATGAGAAAAAAGAAATTTGCGATAAGGGAATGTCACAGAATCGTTATCATCTATAGTTGATATCTATTCCAAAAGAGATGACAGTGTGTGTATTTTTAACAGTTGTAATTTTTTTATTAATTTACTCATTCAATAACTTAGATGTATAAGAAATTATTTTTCTTTAATATTTGACACAAAGTCGATGATATGTATCAAACTACCGTACCTTATCAATCCCATAAAATCACACAACAGTTAAAGAAAGAAGGAAAACAGAGAACCGTGTAGCAACGAGGAGCCCTTTTTGTATAAACAGCTGACATCGTAGCTCATATGTGTTCGTGATATTAAAACTTTAATATCGAGGTCAGAATAAATACACTTTACTCTGCATGCACATTACTCCCTACTTGTAGTCAGTGCCGGTCATTAAGAGCTTCACCTTTGGAATAAACGTTTGTTTTTTGTTTTGTTTTTTTTTTTTTTGTAGAAGAACTCGTTTTGACTTTTTTTTTTTGTGTTTTTGGAATATTTGCGTTTGATTAATATTATTGATGTTTCCCGCGTCTTCTTTTATTCATAGCAATTATCATACTGTACAACATACAAAGTAATTAATCTGCATTGAAACAAACCATTTGTTATATTTATTCCTAGAATACATATAGTTGGCATGAATGACAAGTTTGAGGGTATAATGATGTTCCGTTGTATTTTTTATTAATTCGTTCGTAGATTTTACCCCACATAATTCATGTAATTATGTGTCGCTATTGAAATCTAACCAAAAATTCCCCTTAAACTGGTGATTGGTGTAGTACTGAATCTGCTGTTATCAGCTGTGCGATTTTTTGTGCCTGTGTTCATATGACTTATTGGCTATTTGATTTGATTCTTTGCTTTGGGTATTGTTTCATGAGGCAATGACCCATATCCCGTAGTATCAACCAAACAACCACCTTAATATACTAGAATAGCTCATATATCTTACATGTCCTAATAAATGAAAATGTCAATAGTATATAAGCTTGCCTAAAACACTAGCGCTTTATGTATAAGACCTAAGTGATTTCCATTTAAAAAGAAAATAAAATATCAGTATTTTTGCTCCGTTGATTGATAACGTTTGATTTTGTCAGTTTTTATGGACATTAACCTTTTTTTAACCTTTTTGAATTTACCTTAGAGTTCGGTATTATTGTTATACTATTTTATAAAACTGAAAATATGCATTTCTATTTTACAATTTAGTCAACGTGCACATATTGTTTCTGTGCTCTACATCGGAAAACCTTTTGCATTGAGACAATTGTTTTCTTTTGAAAAACAAATAAGCTTACATGATTTTCAAGTTATATCGTCGACTTAAACAGTCCGAACCATATCAGAAATATTGGTTTAGCTCGACGCTTCTACGGAACCGAGTAGACTACATCCCAGGTGTTATATCAAGCGGAGTTTTGGTTGTTTTATGTGTATTCCTTCGTGAAATATTGTTCGGACTCGTTTGTCTATCTATTTTTATCTGTTCAGCCATTCTTAGGTCTCTCTTTTACATATGGTTTTTGATAGACTGGTTCTCCGATCTAGATAAATGTTCATATTACATATTTCATATATCAAGACAGGTAGGGTCCAACGTCATCTTTTGAAATCGAGGTTGTTCTAATTTTTACAATATTGACGTCATCATAATATGGAAGTCGTTTTTTTTCTCCCGGCATGCAATGGTGACTAACAACAACAATAAACAATGGCAGCATAAATAACTTCCTGAATCTCCTGTGCGACTGACTGCGCGGTGTTTAGTTAAAAAAATTACTAAAATGAAGTCGGCCTCCACCTGTCTATGTATAGAACAAGGTGATTATACATAGCTGAAACCCAGTCTATGTTTTTGATTGCCCACTTGTTAAATCTATTATCTTTTTACTATACTATGATATGTGAAGTCAGATGTTTACACAACAATCATATCGAAATATATGAATGTGATGCTGTCTTTCGCATTTCAATGACCAGACAGTTATACATATGTTATTAAATTGACTAGTTGAATTGGGACACTTTTGTTACATGTGAATTTTTAAAATAAGTAAACTGATATTTAATTTCAAATCAGCGATAGTATTTTTGTGTTCAGGTCGGTGACAGCTGCATTAAATAAGGTTTTTAATTATGTCGTTTCGAGCGCCACTGAGAGATATTTTGAAGGTAATATGGCGTCTTTGAGGGTTTTTTATGTGCTTTAAAATGTGTATGCTTGGTGAAGAATAGCTTGATTTGGTTGTAATACTGTATATAGTTGAAGTCTGGTAAATCTTCGATGTTCAAATGGTAGGAATCTGGTGATGTTTTGCTATTGAGGGTTTGATCTCTCTTTCATCAAAATAAACCATTTAAATGTATTGTATAACCTGGGTTATGCTTGACGTGTGACAGGCTTTCCCATATGGTATTTCTTCTGTAAGTTTACACTTAAGTTTTGGGAAAGACTTTGTTGATACCTTAAAAGCTCTTCTACTTTGTGCTAAAACTATTAATTGTTTTACTTATATTTCATAACGCTATTGTTAAAATAATTTGGAACCATTTATCAACGAAACAAATCCTTACAGTCATAAGTATTACCTGCATTCTTCTTGAAAGAATACCTGTGGCATGTATATCAACAGCAGTGAATCATTGAACTGTACGATCTCTCTAACTACGCCATCTATGTTTGTAAAGAATTGATGTGTTGTAAAGATTCGAGTTCTGTAAACAAACAAATATAAAAAGCTTGATGACAATTTGTTACAATCGAGTGCAACGCATGTGATTTCAGTATTGTACGATTGAATGGCATGGCGTTGTCAGTTTTTTTTCGGCTTAAGAGTCTTAATGTCCCTTTTCTATCTTTCGCCTTTCTTTTAAGACAACATTCGTAATTTATACGCTGGATATTTCACGTTTTCCTTTGGTAAAAATGAACGAGTATTTATATCCTGAACATAATTGTCTATATGATTACTTACGTATACCCGGATATCCTGTGCATAAAAATAGTCATGCTTAGTCAGGGAGAACATGATTTATCAATTAGTTGTAATTGCCTTTGACTAACTTTCTTTCAGTAACTTTGAGTAGTCTTACATCAATGCTAAGAGTCTATTGTTTTTATACTGGTTGTTTTTTGCGTCGTACCGATCTTTTGAGTTAACCTAATTTTAAATGATTTTTACTTTGTTCTTATGTTGTGCTTGAACACCACTGTCCCAGGTAAGGGAAGGCCGGGTTGTGCTCTCACAAACATGTTTAATTCTTTAACATTCTTTATGTACCTGTCACAAGTCAGGAGCCAGTAGTTCAGTGATTGTCATTTTTTTCTCATTGTTGAAGGCCGTACGGTGACTTATGATTGCTTATTACCAATTGAATTTAACTCTGGTGGCTAGTTATAACGTTGACAAGCATACAACATCGTCTTATCATTTAATGACTTCGAAATGAATCGGAAAATTTGGGAACACTATTTGATAATGATAAAATAGTTTTTGTCTAGTTTCCAAATAAAGTACGTAACATTGTACAACAATAAAATAACAAATGATTTAATCTTTTTTAATTTAGACACAATGATGCCAGTGTATCATTGGCCGGCTGGAATAATTTACTCTGTCAAAATTTAAATAGTGACTATACAATTGAAAACAACGCTTACGATTGACAACATGCGTGATTGTAAACACGTGCACGGTTGTAGTTCGGTTCAGATATACGTTTTCCTCCATTAGGTACACAATCAAAACTGCAGTTCTTATTAGGATTAAAATATCCAGTAGTAGGCGTAAGGCGATTTGCACCTTTTAACAATATCTGCTCGTAGGAAATATTAGTTGTATAAATGCCATATATGGTGGGGTAGTACTTAATAAGATTTTCACGAGTAATTCTTGTATCTGTTTCCTTGTCCTTTAATCTGAAATGCAGATGGATAAAGTCATGGCCTGTAAACAATACTACTAGAAGAGTTGTGGTTTCAAATAATGTGGTGATCTAAAATAAATGTCAGTTTCTCGTGTGCTAATACTACGATTTCAACAGTTTTTAATTATATCCTTGATTTGAATTCGGAATCGATTGAAGAGATTTGAACATCGGTATTCTGATATTGCCTTAGTTTATTACAGGATTCAATGACTGTGAACTGAGCAAAACAATGATAGCGTTCACTTAACATTATCGTTGATTTTCTAATCAAATTATTGCATCGGATATCTTTTTGCAACAACAACTTCTACTGTTTATCTTGAAGATATATGGTGCTAATATTATTCACAAAAATATAATATTAGAAATTGCTTTATGTGCGGCAATGCAAAGTCGCTCAATACAATCATACAACAAGACTTTAAGAAAATACGAACTTACATAAACTCTCTCCAGCAAATAATGCCAACCAGTGTTATGCTTATCCCAATAAAAGTTATCGCAAGACAGACCTTTACAAAAATAATAGTTACATTTATTTAATAATGTGTTAAATATAAAAGCAGACTTTCATATTCAGTACAAATTTTAGGTTCTTTTCGGGCATTTCTTTTTTAGTTCTATTTCTAACCCAAACAATGACTAATCTTTACAGTACATATAAAATGACAGCGTTCTATCACTATGTTGACATGCAAATAGATATATTTTACAAGAGAGGCGAAACATATCAAAGGGATAGTCAAACTAATAAGTCGAAAACAAACTGACAATGCCATGGCAAAACACGAAACAAAACGACCAAAAGACAAACAACAGTACACAAAACACAACATAGGACACAAGGGACTGAGCAACACGAACCATACCAAAACCAGGTTTGATCTCAGGTGCTCCGGAAGGATGCGAGATGGTCAAGGTCTGTAACTTTGAGAAGAAGACAAGCAGTAAATCACAGTTTCTATATTTTTTTATCTAAGCGTCCTTGGTGTCTTCTCCTCTTTTATATTTTTTTTTTCTTTTAGTATTGTTATGCTTTCTGTGTATAAATCATGTTTGTTGTTCTCTTCTCATTCAACAATGTTTAAAAACCAGAACTTTTTTTAATATCTGAGATAGAAAAAAAATTATACACCAGTAGAATCTAGTTCAACTGATGAATCCTGATTATGTAGAATGATTTTGTTTTTGGAAAAAATAAAGGCTGAATCAGATGAGTATTAGCTGAATATCCAATTACTTTGCCTTTAGTGAAACACATGACGTCTATGTATGACAAGTTAAACGTTTTCCGTAAATTGATCCACACATTTGAATAATCAACCTAAAAATAGGAAGATGTGGTGTGATTCCTAAAAGAACGAAGATAACAGTTCAGATCACCCTACAACCTTTAACAATGACCAAACACATGTTCTTAGTAAAAACCTTTAATTGCAATATAAATATCTGGAGCAAAATAAAAACAAAATAGCTTGTTTATGACAATATAAATCGTTCGTATGATGATGCAATGCTTTATCAACATTTTCTGATCTGATTTTTTTTCCTTGGTAACATAATTTTCTTCCCGTGAATAGTTATAAGAACTGTTTTTATGAGTTTCATGTTTTCTCAATCCTTAGTTTTCTATGTAGTGTTTGGTGAACTCGTTTGTCTTTTAGAACTTTGTTGTTTGTCTTATAAATTTGTCATGGCGTATTCATCGTTCTCTTCGACTGGTGAGTTTTCAATGAGCCCTTGGTATCTTCGCCTGTTTTTTAATGATTAAAGCAGATATTTGAAAGATTTGATAAGGATGTTTTGACATATAAATTTAGTTGTGAATCTTCATTCAAGTATTTAAAAGTATACTGACGGACAGAAACACAGCACACATTTTTGGTTTTATGATTAATCTTCATATAACTACTAATCGTGCTTCCCATACTCTTTTTGTTTAGACAAAAAATCAATACCTGACTAATCTAAGGTAATTGAACATACCAGATTATTGACGTCATACGAATTTCTCGTAAAGCGCTATTTGAAACCCATGAAAGATATTTAACGTTTCTAGTTTCGTGAATAATTTCTTTCAAGCCATACCCACACTTACCTACTGCTTACATCAGTAAATCAATATGTTGAATTTCCATATTGCCGCGACTAAGCAAGGACAATCTGAATGAGGCAATAAGAATATTGCAGACAGGAATACGTGAACGTGCTGTTGCTAGACAATTTCATGTCAGAAACTCCTCTAACTGTTCTTACAACAACGGTACAGGCAGACCGGATTTGTAAATGACCACACATGACCAGATCAATATTTAATGACAAAGCCATGGCGATTCGAATGCTATGGCAGACAGATTCACGACATCAAAGTTTCCTATATACTGAAATGCATAAAGAAACGACTACAGAAAAATAGTTTAAGCCCTAAAGTTTAAACCGAATAATTGCCAAAAACACTGTAATGATAGGGACAGAGGCCAAACAAGAAGCTACAAAATAGAACTCAAAACATGCCCAACATAAATGGTTGACTTTTCTGTCAATCATATAGGTTTTGGTTACAGGCAGCCATAGCCATCCGTTGAAGGGGGAAACAAACAGGGTTTCAGTGCATACCAAATGATTTGAATATTAAACATGGCGTAATCTATTCAACTTCCCAATTGCATACTATGTTTAGACAATGAAGTAATGAATGAAATATATGTTTACATACATTTATTTTACAAAAATTGCATAATTATATGAAAATATTATATGAGAACTGCGTTTTTAAAATCTGTCAGTATATTACTACAGACTTCAAGCTATCTTAGTTTGAATGGTCGATGAGCATCATCCTTGTATTTTGATCCTTAATTGATAGTTGTCTTATTGGCACTCACAGCACATATCTTTATTTTCATAATGATACTTATAGCTTTATGCATGGCAGTATTCAACTACATGACTGTTACAATAATAAACTATTGTGTTTCTTTCAATTTTTACATACCCATGTATTAGCACAACGTTCTCCCATTCTCCAAGGTATTTCGTTCGTAATTCCTATGTTTAGATGCGACAATTAATAATTTAATAACTTAGGCTCTTCCTGACAGCTACGTATAGAAGTGTCTAAATGGAAACCAGTATAAATAAAATCATTCCGTTTTCATTTTTCACTCCAATATTTAATACCGTACAAAAATTACTTGCTTTGTAATATATATTTTCCTTTTTATTATTTTTTTTTTTGTTACACCCATTAAAAAATTAAAAAAAGAAAAATAACGACTATATAAACTAACTTTAAACGGAAGTATAAAATTGTTTTTAAAACCCTGCCAACTTGCAGTGTCATTTCATTTGCAAAATATTAACCACAAATGCGTATAGGCAGTATAACATTCAAAACATGATGTCAAGGAGTTCATTATTTTTGTTGATTATAGTTGATATTATTTCATTTATAACAATTGCAGATACAAAATAATGGAAATGAAAGAAATAACGTTTAACGCAAAGCATACATTGTAATCGGCAAGACATATTTTGAACGTATTTGTGTTTAACATGTTCAAGTTCAATGAAACGGTGTGTGTACTAAGCCGAGGCGATTATAGAGGTCTACACGTGTTAAGTCATTGTTCACAAAAAATAATTCTACGTTTCGTCAATAAACTTTGTTGACAGGAGGTATGTATTCTTATGAGCACCAAGTGTGCCCTTTAATATCAGACTTGTTATTGTAATGTTATTAATCAGATGAAGATCCGTCTAAACACCATTTATCTAATAAATGCAACAAAAATTACCGTCACCTGGATGATATTACTGTTTTGAAATTCAAGAATTCACTAAATATACTGTCAAAACGACCGAGGGGAACTTTCTTTAAATAAATCGATTATACACAACAATAACTTCCTTTCCTTTATTTATAGATTCTAATTATTGAACAAATCTATACATGAAATTATGACAAAAAGGACCAGATTTTTCGTTTTCTTTTGTGTTTTTTTTTTTTTCCTTTTTGAGACATGATTTTTCTTTGGTCTTATCTAACGGTATTCATATATCCACAAGTCAAAGGCGTAAAGAATGAAATGCATATCATTTATGTTAATAAGTAAGTGAGTACTTGGTTTCAATAAAAAGAACACAATTTCAAAGTTTGTAGCCAATGTTACAACCGGTCCATTGGCACTATAAGTTATCTATTTGGCAATATGTGTAGGTTAATACACTATCACGGACTATGAATAAAATATAGCATTTCTCAAATGTATGAGTGGTAAACTATAAAGTCAGGGATTTCGTTACCACAAATTAACACATACTACTTAAACTTTTACTACATTGTTTCGTTGATACAAATATGTGGTTTGCGATTTTGGCTGTATCTGTACAAAACTTTAGTTATCAAAAACTATATTTATATCATTTTTTCATTATCAAATATCGTATTTCTTATAATAGCACTATTCTATCATATGAGCTGTGTCGAATAGAAATCGACATCATGCAAATGTCCGTATACATGTACATGTATAAGACTTTAATTGATTTTGGAACATTTGAATACGAATTAAAAGATGAATTTTAGTCTGTTGTGTAGGGTTCTTACAACAACTAATTATTAAAACAGTTACCGGCATAATTTCCGTAGAGATTTTATCAATCCGAAATAGGTTAACAGATGTATTGATATTAATTTGCATATGGTCGGTTTCTATCCGACGCAGCTCATATCATAAAAGTGCAGTGATTAATACTTCCATCTGACCTTTAGGATCTTCTCTTTTTTTCCTTTGACCCAACGTAAAGATATCTTAAGTTCCTGATGAAGGTAAAATCCAAAAAGCGCTTCGGACACAAGAAATTAATAATGTAGGGTTTTCAGTTTTTTTTCAATGACTAGTATAATCCTTGGAATAAAATTCTAAATAATTGAGAAAATCTAACCTTATTGTATAATCTTTATTTTGGAGAACGAATGCAATGCTTCCGTAAACGAAAACACTGAAAAACCTGCAGGCTAAGTTATCAAATGAACAGTGTGTCCGAGGTAAGAGGATGCATTTGCATTGTAAATTAAAAAAAAGTTGTTTTAGTATAAATTTACAAACTTGACTTAATGGACTTTTAACTATTTATTTTCAATATTTAATGTTCATATGATATTTTGATAATAATAAGTGAATTAAAATTGAACGATAATGTGTTTTCACTTTAAAAATGATAAATGGTTATACTTATTAAACGGTTGTAAAAACCAATATATTATTGTTAGACTCGGTTTGGAATCTAATTTTTACTTACTTGTTAACATGTTTTAATAAACATTTTGTAAAAGCATAATTTAAATGTATCCTACCTTACGGGCCTAATGATCAAACATTAACCAAAAGTTTGTGAAACATTTCTATTTATTCCACAATAGATTAGTCAATAACGACACACAAATAACTGAACGTTGCCATGTCATAATATCTAAATTTGGAACCGAAATAGGATTGGATGATTTCGTCGAATGATGTTTGATGAACTATGTATTTCATTTTTATTTCAATTGGAAAGTCCTAAACCAGTGTTATACATGTAACCAACGAAACTAAATTAAACAGCTACGTCCTAAATAAATTTCACTTTAACTGACCTTATTTCAATATACTACAACACTTTTACAAAAGCAAAAGTCTATTGTCCAGTTTTCTAGTTGACCCTGTAATTAGACATCTATTTGTACAATTTGTTTCCCCTAGGCGGACAAGAGCTAGCGGAAAGAACATGTTTATGTTTACGAAAACGTTTGATTACATTTAATCTTTTTATAAGGTAGAAAAAACGTTTGATATTGATAGTTATGTTTCATTAAAAATAGATTAAAACGGCTATATATCACTTTCAACTTCACGTGCTTTTTTTCGAACTCGGCTTCATGTAAGACATGTTCATCGAGTACGTACGGACAATACCCTACATTACCTCAGATGGGATTTTGTAAATTACGATCATCGATATGAAGTCTGTTTACCACCAAGTCGAGATATTGAATGAACATAAGGAAAGAACTGCATATACAGTAGGTCTACTTAGATTGTAGGACTACAACCGCAATTCCATTCGGATTGACAATTTCACCAGCTTATTATCAACATCTTATGCAAGAATGCATAAGCCATCATTTGAACACCTGTGGTATCTTCATTTATGATGTCATCGCTGAAGTTAGTGTTTGACAGAATACAGGGAAACAGCCGGAAGTTACCTTCGTGGAAATGTTCCTTCTTCGTGTCACCAGTTAAGTATGTTGGACACATAATAGTCAAAGACGATATAGAAACAGATCCAGGAAAAAAGGAGAAAGTGATGTTGTTGCCTAATCCAACTACACCGGAGGAAATCCGACTGTGTATAGGATCGCTAAATATAACCGTAGATTTATTAGGAACTTTAGCTGGATAGCCCTTGACTGATCATTTACCAGCTGTGCCAAAGCCAAAGTTAGGAAAGAAGAAAAAGAGGAACAGCATCCATGGAGAAATAATTAGGAAACAACTTTCAACTTAGCTTCAGGACATGTAATAACTAACCCAGATTACCATAAACCGTTTGAGCTACAAACAGATGCAAGTTGTTAAGGTTTAGGATCGGTGCTGTATCAAGAGCAAAACGACAAACTCAGAGTTGTTGCCTATATCATCAAAGGATTGACCAAAGCAGAGGAAAACTATCCTGCCCAAAAAACGGAATTCCTCACTTTAAAATGACAACATCTTATTTATATTACAGATCAGTTCCACGACTACGTGACTGTATGTACATCGAATTCATGAAGTAACAGACAACTATTGACATATGTGTTCACACCAGTGACATAGCATGAGGACAGGAAAAATATACAACAAGGCTGATGCACTTTCCAGATTACCATAACTATTAACACAGGAAGCTACGCATTCTATGTACAGTATCAAGGCAATTTTTGGAACCTTAAGAATACCATACGTGGACACATTAGTTGTTAAACCTGATTTTTTAGACACCATGAACATCGACAAGCAACTGGAGCAGGGAAATGATTTGGCTATAGTTCAACAGTCAGAATCACATCTTGAATTGACTGATTTGCTGTCCAACCATGTACCTGTAGTATGTGAAGCATTGCACAAGAAGATTGGTCATCCTTGGAGAGATCGGACGAACTTAGTCCGGGACATATTTTATTGGCCATCCATGAACAAGGATATTAATTAATTGCTCAACCACTGTGACAGATGTCTTATGAGGATGGATTACCCACAGACAGCTTCTTTAGATATTGGAGACAGCATAATAAAGAACGTTGTAGCACATGAGGGAAGCACTATATAGCTGATCGTTGTGATGACGATGTTTATGTCATAATATACCAACCCAACAGTGATGTGTCGTTCTACACTGAATAGAGCGAGAACAGAAAGGAACGAGGACGCACTCTTCATAGGAATCGTGTTTTCCCTAGTGTTTCAATATGCATAGAGAGCCAGTACCACCATCCAGATAAGTACCACCCCCTTGAACAAGATTGAGACAACGGATAGAACAGCCTTCACCAGAGCTATCTGATTATGAGAGAAGTGAAAATGAGTTTTTGTAAAAATAGATTATGGTAGACAGAAAGATCCTATTCTATAAGATATGGACACTTCAATACAGGATGAAGACACATACTGGCAAAGTACTTTCATTCGTTGGGTACCACTTCCACGAATTTAAGTATCCAACGAAATATAACAACTGTTGTCCAAATCAAGACATGGAAATATCCCCATGTAGGTTTGACAACATGGATGCGGGCATATAATCTAGAGAATACATCGAATATTAGAAAACGCACTATGAACTATATTTGCAACTTCGGACAGGATTTTACCCGTTTAATCTTTAAAAAAAAAACCTAAACTGTACTGTAAATTTTAACCTTTAAATTCATATGAAAAATTATTTTTGATCAATGACAGTCAGACTTCCGTTGATGGTATGCGAAAAAAAATCATATTGGGCTTGCTTTTTTATTTCATAAGAATTAATATTACAATTCAAAATACAGTTGTAGCATTGTTTATGTAATCGTTTTCTTTGAGTGACATGTTTATGTCCCAATTAACACCTTCGATGATCGTTAATCTGTTGATCATTCTATCTCGGGTTAAGTGGTGTCATCCCTTCTAATTACATCTCGGGTAAAGTAGTGTCATCACTTCTGGTTACACGTGTGTAACAATTTAAATTTTTACTTTGCAATTTCCTCAATACA